AAATTTATCTATTGGTGGTCTCAACAGTATTATTATATCTATAATATATAGCATAATCAAAAATAATATTCCTATTGGAGTGTTATTCTAAATATTCAAAATAAGATTATACTTTGAAGTGAATTTAGCAAAAGCTATTTAAGTACTTTTAAAGCTACTACTATACTAATTACTGTTAAAACAACAACTCAGCTTTTTTTAATTGCAAGAAATGAGAGTTTAACAGTTTGAGAGATGACATTAAATGCACTTTAAAATAAATTTATTGCTCTACAAAAAACATTTAATGCAAGGGTTTTTTAATATAATACAACAGGGGCGAGATTGTCATAGAAGCATAGGAGCGATTGACCCCTGCGACACTATAATAAACATAATTCTGTTTGTAAAATTTATTTTTGAACTTTTTTTTTTCATTTCTTGTTATGAAGCGGTACAAATATTTTTTGGATCTATCCAGGCTCCCACAGTTTTGTGCTCATTGGCCTCCCAATCTGACAATACGTATTTGTTTTTTACAATTATTATTGAAAATACTTTACTTTAAAACTACACTTATTTGTGGGTACAAAAAACATATGACAGGTAGTCTAAGCGTGAACGTATCTTTACTATACTTTTATGCTCATTGACCTTTTAGCCTTAATTATTTTTTCTGTTTGATTTTTTTCAATTAATTAGCTATTATGCATATAGGTAATATTTTACACCTTACTTAAACTACCTTATATTTGAAAATTAATACTTTGTTATCAAACACTTGTACTTATATGTAATATGTAGATGAAGAGTGCGGAGGAAAATATTTTTTTTATTTTAAAACCAATTAGGACAATCAAATATTATTTAGCCAATTAAAAAAGTTTTTTTTTCATTGTGGTTTTAGGAGTCAAACAAATAACTGTTTCATTAGTTTTAATATACTTGAACATTTTACAAATGTAAAGAGAAAATTCAGGAATTTTATTTTTGTTTTTACTAAATTTCATTTTAAAGTAATAGACCTTTTATACTAAAAAATTTTTCCTTGAATCTTTTAAAAAAATATAAATACTAATCATTACATAAATTAAAATTCGATGTCACTAAGTATTTTTTTATGTGAGAGTAAAATCAATTTTGCACATTTCTAGGATTTGTACAATGTATTTATCTATTATTAAAAGATACATAGGCGCAATCTGAGGGTCTAGGAGGGGCTTAACCCCCCTAATTTTGTCGCAGATTCCCAAAAATTATGAAAACTACTTTTAAATTTATATAGAATTCTTTTAAAGGGTGGGAAAAATTAAGTTAAATCCACTAAATATTTTGTTTAAATTGCACCTATGAATAGATATTATTATATTTAATAGAGTTTGATGCAAAATTATTAAAGTATAATTAATTAATAGGTAACGCATTTTAGGTGATCAATAACAATTATCCTATCGTATAAACAAACGCCCAAGGTTTATTATGTAACTAACTACTGGTAATTAAAAATGTTTACACCAACATTTTATAAATAAAAAAGTCATATAATCACACAAAAAATAGTACAATTAAATTTATAAATTCACCTTTGCTATTTAAATTCAAGGAAAGTATAATTATTCCTCATTTTTTATATTTATTGTCATTAAAATTTAAATAGGGTAGAAACAAAAATTATGGTCTTTTTTTCTATCTTTATTGAAATGAAATTCTTAAAATTCATAATTTTAAGAATTACTTTATTTTAAACTATCAATATTAAAAATAATATTATTTTCAACAAATAAAAGAGAATGTAGATTTTACTCAATAGACATTTATCACTCAATAGATTTCTGAAATAATAATTGTTTGCTTAAAAAGTATATTGGATTTTAAAGTAAATTTCGCAACGAGAATTTACCCTTAAAATTATACAAAATAATCGTTGATTAAGTTACCGTTAAATTGGACATATTATGAATAATATTACAACAAATAGGGAGGATTTCATTAAAAATTTGATCACGTGATGAACACTATAAAATTAAGTAAAATAAAATTGTGAGTGATAAAAATGTATATAATTATTATCGATAAATAATTAAAGCCATCCAAAGTTCAATGATCAATACATAAGATACTATGAAAAAAATAATCTTAATATCAATAATCGATTTATTTTACCTTTAGAAATTATTTATTTAAAAAAATAAAATTTATGAGTAATAAATGTGATAATGTAATTATGTGGAATAATATTCAATTAATTTTTTATCGATATTACCTGACAATACACCACAATTAAAAACTAAGCTTTAAATTTTTATATCATATTGAATTTTTTATTTTATATAAAATACATAATATTGTTTCGAATTAATAAACTACTAATATATAAATCAACGCCTACTTTTTATGACGATAATTTATATTTTTTAATTTATCTAAAATCATGATTCATATAGGTAAAACTCAGCTACTTTATTAATGTTGTAATTTCTTATTTTTTATACCTCATATGTAATTGGCCTATTGAGATAATCCCCAAATAAATTATCCGACTAAGCTAAGTATTAGTTGACAACATTAAATGTTAAACAGCAATTTACCGCATTATGAACTCACAACACATTCCTATCACATAGTTTATTACAAAAGTTTTAAAGTTTTGTAAGGGATTGTGTTACATTGCAATGTATGGAAATCACAAATCTAATGATATTCAAAAAATAAAACAGATTTCTAATAATAAATATTTTTAAATTAAAACGGCTTAATTAATTTTATCGTCTTAAGCTATTTCATACAATACAATCAATTACCATAAAAAATAGACATGCTTTGATGTTAATCATTACCATACACAAATACAAACAAAAAATATATTTAAATAAACACACACTAGTAAACGGTTTAAATTGATACTATGATAGAATTTAATATTCTTTTGTTTTATTCATTCAATAAATAAAATAATTTCAAGGATATAAACTAATAGAACAACATTAACTTTAACAAGTTTAACGACATATATAATGAATAACTAACTTGAATAACAAACTATTGAACAAAATTTAACAATTACGAAAATTGTCAAATTAAAATCATGTATTTATATTATATATTTAATTTGATATCTAAGTACAAGAGCAACATTTTAATTTCTAGAGAGAACAGCCCCAAGTTAAAATAAAAATGAATTTATCAACATTGTGTTAAATTCAGTTGGTCCTAATAATTCCAAACCAACAAAATATAAATTTATGATGAAATAAAACTCGTTTGGTGAAATAATAATAATAGCTATTAATTTCCTGTTCATTTTTCAGGTTTATGCATTAAATATCTTTATGTAGTTCTTTGTTAATTTTACACATTACACATGCATTTTTTAACTATACACATAAACAAATCAACGTGAAATAAAAGTTGTTGCTATTCATAATAAACATTAACATAAGTATCACTTTCTAAGTATAATATTTTAAAAATCTTTAATATTCAAAAAGACAAATTATATCTCATATAATAGTTTGGCATTAAATTTGATGCTTAAAATTACACTTTCATTATAGTTATAAGAGTTTTTAAATAAATTAATGCCATTCTATTTATTTTTGAAAGGAAAATTACTTCATTGTTGAATTACTTTGGTCGCAGAGATTTAAATATGACACAGTAAAGACTATCTTATTTTTCTAAATGGTTCAAATTTATACAAATATAAGGGCATTTAAAGAAACCACTATACAAACCCAGATAAGAAATGTTAAATAAGCAAGACAATTCTATTTAATTTTTTTTGTAATTAATTTTTTTTTTATTATGCATCAATTGTACAGGCTTACAAGGGGAGGTCACGGTGTGGTACCCACCGATTTTCATAAAATGTATATAGATCTATTCTATATTGACTATTTAATCACCTTTATTTCGAATTTGTTGCCAATGCCCCCCCTAAGTCGAGAAAATCGACTTTGAAAATTGTTGTTTAACTTTAATAGAGTTAATTTTTCAATTGGGATAAGGTCGTACTATTGTCTAATGGATAGCGCGTGACAGTCCGATTATGGGGTTCCGAGTTCGAATCTCTGAACGAGACATGAATTTTTTGCATTTTTTTTTCACTTTTTTTTTTTAATTTTTAACTTTTATTATTATATTACTATTTTTTATTTAACTTTATGTCTCTAAAAGACTATTTTTAACACTTTCAACATTTATTATTCTTTGAATCATCAAATGATCAAAGGTATAAGTTT